AAACCCTGACAAAGAAATAAAAGCTAAGAAACGAAAACGAACTTACCTAGATCTCAAAATGCAAACCTGTGCCACTGTTCTACTCTTGCAGTTGCAGATTTTACCCATATCGCAGAGGGCACTACCTATCTGGGTTACGGAGACTGAATAATATAACATGAAAAAGTGCCCACCAAGGGCTAATAAATAAGTTCCCTCCCCCTTTTTGAACTCTCCTGTATTCCCTGGAATTCATCCTAATGACAGTTTAGATTTGATCACTCCCCAAAAGAAAACCACGTTTAATAAATGCTGAGTCAGACACTGCAGTGGGTTGGGCTCAGGAGCAGGACCCAGGACAGAAGGTAGATAAGTGCACACAAGGGAGAGGGAAAGGAGCAGGTAACTAGTAAGCCCCCTCTACTGCCACAGGGTAAGCAGTGTGGGGCCAGCAGCTGATCTGTGGGAGCCGGGGAAAAATTTCTGATTAGGAAATTAGCAACTCTAGTTCAATCTTAAAAGTACCCAAGTACAAAAGGATGAATGTAGTGGCTTCAGGATTGGTGAAGCCAATTTTGCCTACAAGATTTGTACCATTGTTACAGACTGACTACTGAGCACCAAATGGCACAAGACAAGAAAACAGACTGAGTGTGGCTAGTAGCTACCACAATGGATAACACAGTATATTCCCTTAAGTGCAGAGTTCTACAGAACAGTGCTGCTGATAAAGGCTGACATTTCCATGCTCAGCATTCCTCCCTACAACTACCTGGATTCATTCTGCCTCTTTCACAAAATAATGCAAAGCTCCAAAGAATAGAAATGGATGACTGAGAGCAAGAATCAGCAAACTTTTTCTGTAAAGGGCCAGTTAGGAAATATCTTAGGCTTTGCTGGCCATCCAGCCTTCGTCACAACTACTCTGGCATTACAGGTAGAATGAAAACAGCTATAGACAATGTGTAAATAAATGGGTATGGTTATGTTCCAATAAACCTTTATTTTCTGCCCTCGCCAGGTAGCTCAGTTGAGTAGACCATTGCCACAATAAGCCAAGGTTGTGGGTTCAACCCACAGTCACAGAACATACAAGAATCAACCAAATAATGTATGAATACCGTATTTTGGTGTGTATAATGTGCACCCACGTTTGGCCCAAACTTTCAGGAAAATATCTTGTGTTTCAATTTTTAATTCAATTAATTATATTTAGATACTTGCTTTTTGTAATATAAAGGAATTTTATCATTTATTTTTTAACATATTATGGTACAAGAAGTTTGGGTTCTCCGCCCCCCACCGGCAAATCTAATGTGCAGTCGTGGTTGAGAACCACTGCTATAGATTAGATCCAACATGATGAGGGCAGCAGCTTTGCCTAATGGCACGTGTCTCAGTAGGAAGGAGTCTATATTGTCATTAGTTTCCATTTTCTGGACTTTGACTTCTACTTTTCATTTTGTTTTTCTATTGTTCAAATACAGTCGTCTCCATTTTCCCACCACCACTTCCCCCTGCCCCACCTCCCCCCACCTCCCACTCTCAATCCTTCCCCACTTTGCCTTTGTCCATGGGTACTTTATATATGTTCCTTGGCTTGACTCTTCCCCTTCTTTTCCCCGTTATCCCCCGCCTTCCCTTCTGGTTACTGTCGGTTTGTTTTTTCTTTCAGTGTTGCTGGTTATATTTTTCGTTTTGTTGATTAAGCTCTACTTATAGGTGAGATTATATGGTATTTGTCTTTCACTGCCTGCCTTATTTCACTTATATAATGCTCTCCAGCTCCATCCATGCTGTCACAAAGGAGTTCCTTCTTTCTTTCTGTTGTGTAGTACTCCATTGTGTAAATGTACCATAGTTTTTTGACCCACTCATTTATTGATAGGCATTTAGGTTGCTTCCAATACTTGGCTACTGTAAACTGTGCTACTATGAACAGTGGGGTGCATAAGTTCTTTTGAAGTGCTGTTTCAGGATTCTCAGGGTATGATCCCAGCAGTGGAATTGCTTAGGTCAAAAGGCAGTTCCATTATTAGCTTTTTGAGGAAAATTCCAAACTGTTTTCCACAGTGGTAGCACCAGTCTGCATTCCCACCAACAGTGCACTAGGATTCCCTTTTCTCCACAACCTCAGCAGCACTTCTTGTTTGTTGATTTGGTTATGATGGCCATTCTGACTGATGTGAAGTGGTATCTCACTGTGGTTTTAATATGCATTTCTCTGATGGCTAGTGATGATGAGCATCCTTTCATACATCTCTGGGCCCTGTGTATGTCCTCCTTGGAGAAGTATCTTTTCAGATCCCTTGCCCATTTTTTAATTGGATTGTTTGTCTTCCTGGAGTGATGTGAGTTCTTTATATATTTTGGTGATCAAACTCTTGTCTGAGTTATCATTGGCAAATATATTTGGAAAATACAGTTGGTTTCATTTTGCTAATGTTTTCTTTAGCTGTGAAGCTTCTTATTTTGATGAAGTCCCATTTGTTTATTTTTTCCTTTATGTCCCTTGCTCTAGGGGACATATCGGTAAAAATACAGCTGCATGGAATACCTGAGAGTTTCCTGCCTATGTTCTCCTCTAGGACTTTTATGATGTCGCAACTTATATTTAAGTCTTTTATCCATCTTGAGTTTATTTGTGTGTATGGTGCAAGTTGGTGGTTGAATTTCATTTTTTTTTTGCATGTAACTGGTCAGGTCTCCCAACACCATTTGTTAAAGAGGCTATTTTTACTCCATTTTATGCTTCTGTTATGGTACAGAAGTTTTATGTAACAAATAATTACAAAATACAAGAACAGATACAAGGTACAAAAAATTTTATGTACCAGTAACAAATTTACAATTATTTACACATCAGAGAAGCCCAAGAATCATCACTGTCAATATCAGCTGTATCATCTTCCATTTCTACATTACCGATGTGTTTTGAAGAGTCACTTTCCTTGTCCCAGTAAATGTCATCACCCTCAGTTCCATCCATAGCATTGCTGATGCCACATTTTCTACATGATTTCACAAGCACTGCTCCCTGATACTGTTCCACAATCTTAAGGTCCAATCACAAACCTGGGTGATGGATGCTTTCTTGATCCTGCCTATAGGTGTTAAATCATTACCAGCTGACTCCATCCACAAAGTCCACTTTTTCTTTAGGGCTTTAAAGGGCTTGTTTACTGACACATCAAAAAGTTGTAGCTGGCTGGTTAGCACACCAGGTATCACAGCAAGTTGGGTTTTTCAAGTCCGCTGGTTAGCTTTTGCACTTTGTATAGCATGGGCTTTGAAGTGACCGAAAACAAGTAAAGCCGGTTTTTTGAGTAATCCTCCAGGCCTGCATGACCAGACTTTGTTAAACCAGATTTTCATGCCTTCTTCATTCATCCATTTTTTTTCATGAACATGGGCAATAACTCCACTTGGAATCTTTTCTTTTGGAAACATTTTTCTTTTAAAGATGATCGTATGTGATAGCTTTGTCCCATTTACACAACAGGCTAGAACAACAGTGAAATTTGTCTTTCTATGAACACCAGTTTTAACAGCCATGGTCTTTGCTCCTTTGATGTCCACAGTTCTGTTGGATGGCACATCAAATGTGAGTGGGACCTCATCCATACTGGCAATTTGGGACAGCTCAAAGTTTTAAGTCTTTTGTAGACTGATAATGTAAGAATGAAATTCCAAAACCTGATTCTCATAGGCTGCTGGAAGTTTATGGGCAAGTTTCATTCCTGTCCTCATGCTCACACCTTCTATCTTCATAAAGTTAAAGCACCATTTAGAGGTCCCTGAGAAATCAATGTTTTTTTCTTGTGCAATCTTTTTACCTTCTTCTTGTACCCTATTGGTTGAAACAGAGATCCTAGTCTGACGCTGCTCTACAATCCAGGTCTTCACCTCCTGCTCTACCTCTGGCTACTCTGGAGATTTCTTTCCCTCACATTGCCGCTTTCTGTCTTGGCATCTGAAGAAGTTTTTCTTTCTGTCATCTCCATAATCTGATGACTCTCTGTGGGAGGAGGTCCACAGTGTGTCTCACCAGCTCTGTTGCTATGCTTTTTTAGCATATTTACTAACTTTTAGCTTAATGCATGCAGTGTACGAAAACCATTTTGACACTTTCCAAGGGATTTTCCAGTAATTTCTCCCACCAAAAGGGTACAACGAGAAATGTTGCACTGTTCACCCTATAGTAATGAATTCAGCATCACTTATCTTATTAAGTGGATAACAATCATCATTATCTATCTTACTCTGTGGATAACAATAGGTTGCTATTCATTCCATTTTCGTTGAATTGCTGCCCAAAACTGCAAACTTGTTGCAAGTTTGTCATAAGTTCAATAGAACCAATTATCATATTCCAGGGTATTATTCTGCATATGGCTATTATTATTTTCTAGAGTTATACTTTTAATGCATAAGCATAAATAAAAGAATTTAAAACATTTCTATAGATAAGGAATTAGCACCACCGATGTATAATGAACATCCTTATTTTTCCCTCAAAAATCTGGGGAAAAAAGTGTGCATTTTACATGACAAAATATGGTAAATGGGACAAGTTGATGTTTGTTTCTTTCTCTCTCTTCCTTCCTCTTTTTCTAAAATCAATAAATTTTTTAAAAATTTTATTTTTCAAAAACCGATACTGAAGGGCCATAGGTTGTAAAACCTTTTTTTAGTGGACTTGCGGAGTCATCCAAGACAACCTCAGTGGAATCAGAGGAAACTTTCTCTCCCATTGCAAAGATTCATGAAGTAAATACTCTCATCTTCTTCCACTATTATCCGCCCAGGCTCTGCTTAAGACAGGACTCCCATCCACTTACAAGGAAGATTCCTGGTCATGAGACTGGCATTTGCTTGCTACCTCTAGGATTCCTTGACCATCCATGAAAGGCACAAAGAAGATTCTTACCTAACACACCTAAATCATATTGTGGCTTTATCAAGGCTAATTAAATTAAAATATGGTTTTTAATAAAACAAAAAACAAAAAAAACCCCACTGTGAAACATTTATTTTTAAGTTTTCAGCATGATTAAAACCAGTGCAGAAAAATACTAAGTGCATTTGGTAAGAGGTGAGTATGCTATTTCAGTATTTGCTTTTTATAATTCAGTTAAGACAATGAACACATAAGACAGCAGTATTAACTCAAGGATATAGCTGAAGAGTGAAATGTGAAACCCTATATGCTCTACGGGCCTCCAAAGGCATTCAAAGGATCATCAAATATGTTGGCCACCTTCTGTTCAGATCTTGGTTCAGGTGCTGCCTGTGAAGATCGACTTTTTGGTTTGGTTTTCTTAGCCTGGACACCAGAGGAGAAGATATCATCTTTAAAAAGAAAGAAGAAGAGTTGCTAAATAGGCAGAAAGAAAAAAAAAGCTTTTAAGATACATCTACACAAACCAGCAAAGACTCAAGTCTGGTAATATTTGGGATACCTAAAAACACTAAGACAGAGCCACACCTCTTAGATATTGGTCCTGGCTCTGCTACTAATTAAGTTTTATGATCACATACAAGTCAAAGGTTCTCTCTGAACACCATTTTCTCAGCTATGAAAGTGTGTGTGTGTGCACATGTAGGACAGGAAAAAGGGGAGGCTAACTGCATCTCTGATCCAGGTCCTAACTTTTCTATCTGTTACATTACACTTATTTCCACATTCTTTCCTCCTCTGGATTCTAAAAGAAAAGTACAATAACAATAAGCAAAAGGAAATCCAACATAGGAGTCACCTTTTTTCAGAATAAATGCATCTATTTGAGGCATCTCAATCCTAAAAATGTTAAATGTTTACGACTGCATCATGTTTAGTGTTTCACTGACTCTAGCTGTTTCATGACTCATCTCACTCAGTAATTTTACTAACCCAGTAATGTTACTGGTAAAATTCTCTCCTACAGAGATTTTAGCATGTGTGAAATAACATACATACACACAAATGTTAAGTATCATGGCATTTGTAACAGGGAAATCTTAGAAACAATCTAGATCACCTTCAACAGGCTAAGAGCTAAATACAAAGCAATACTAACAACCCCTAAAAGCAGGGAAGCAGATCTCTACTGACATAAGACGACATTTAAGTGACTAAAAGGAACAGCAGAATAGACAAAGTATATTCTTACTTTGGAAAAAAGTAAGTATACAAACCTCTAACAGTATCACCATATATGAAAAAATACAACCTAACTCTCACTGATGGTTATCTCTAGAGTTTGTTTTCCACTTTTTACATTTTCTTAATAGTATTAATCTATTAATGACAGGTTTGTATCACATTATTTGTTACAAAAGAAATGAAAATCTCTTCTGCACCTCATGTGGTGGAAAGCAGATAGAGACAGTGCTCACAGTTTGCCTGGGGTGGGGAATAGACCCAGTGTGGCACTGCAGTCCCAGCTTTCTACAAGTTAACCCCAAAGTTTAGACCTGGAGATAGAGGGGATGGAGTAGGAAGTGTGTATCTGGCTTTAGCCCAGTCCTATCTTCCAACACACAAGACGTTTCAGAAGCCCTACATTTAGCATTTTGGGGCATTTGGCATGCCTATTTACAAAGTAGATGTTACACCATGGAGCGAAAACAAACACACTTACAAACACAGAAGATATTTGGTGAGATGTAAAAGTCTGAGTTATAACCTGCTTTCCTATTTAGTCCTGCTCTCCTCCATTCTCAGAACACTAACACTCAACTAACTCTCCAGCTAGAACTCTTGACTCAACAACTGCATCACACCTGAGACAGCAACCTCTGTCAACTTCAGCATATAGGGTAGTTTTGAGCCTCCTTTCATAACACCAGAGTGTTTGTCACGGATAACTGGTGGGGGAATAGATAGATAAAAGTTAAATTATGTAATAGTAAGATAAAAAGGTCAAATTCTGGGCTCCTTCAAGTCCCTGATGTCCATAATACCAGAAAGCTATTTCATCAAAATACTAGTCCATTTACTATTTATCCATCTTCAGTCTAAATCAGGATTACATAGCAAGCCCAAGAAAGGGCCAAGATAAAGACCCAAGTCACTGAATGATAATATTCTCTATGTCATGTGTGTAATACCAAACTTACCCATATCATCATCAAATATAGATTTAGCTTCCACTTTCTTCTTGGACTTTTCTTTTGGTTTTATAGTTAGGTCAGCAAAGATATCAATGTTATCATCAAATAAGTTGGGTTCAAATGTTCTTTCCTTCTCTCTTATTTTTTGTGAGGATTTAATTGCTTCTGTAGCAAATATATCATCCTTGTTAAGGCAAAAATACAAGCAAAACAATATTAAATCAAAAACCTGTTTTTAGTGTTTCAACAATATGTAGAAATGCAAACTGCCAGTGTTCTGGAACAGCCACATGACCTGCCCCCTCTGCTAGATTTCTGCCTGGCCCGGTCCTTCTCATTCTTCTAGTCCCAGCTCAAATGTCATCTCTATATAGCAGCCTACTCTACCAGTCCTACCTGAAGAAGTGCCTCCTACCCCTGCCATCGCTCTGCCCCACTGTCCTGGGTTGTCTTCTTTAAGACACTAACATTTTCTGAAAACATCTTATCTGTTGCCCTATCTGCATCCAATTTCCCTCCCTGAGAGTGCTAAGGAACACAATGCTGGTCCTAGTTCATCTTAGGTCTCCAGTAGCCATATGCTCTATAAACACCTACCTAGAGAGTGCCACTGAAAGCCTTGTAGCCTGTGCTCAATCATCAGCTAGGGCCTGTTTGCCTAAACCCAGAGATTAAACATTCAAGCTGTACCAATATTGCTTTATATATCTCATAGAGTGTTATACCAAGGAAGCTCGCTGAAGCAACATTCTGATAAACTCTAAAAATCAAGGTCTGTATCAATGGTGATGGCCAGCCAGCAATTACCATCTATATGAAACAAAACAACTATTTCTTGGTAAGTTTCAGTTATTTATAAAGGATCCTAACTATAATTACTAAGCAAGTAGATACTGGGCAGCAACAAACAAGCCTAGTGTAACTTATGGCTCAAATGAGCCAAGTGGTATTTTTCTTCATAAAGAACCAGGCACAAAAACATACTGTCATATCCTATTACCTCAAAAATATCTTGTGCTTTTGAGATGACAGCTTGCTGACCATTGAATTTTGACTCATTCCTCTTGCCTTTCTGATCTGGAAAGAGATAATCCTCACCTTCCAGGAGAGGGAAGGGATTTATTTTCTTTGCTGGTTTTGATTTAACAGACTGAAAGAGATCATCATCACTACCTGCCTCACACAGAGCAGGAAACATGAGGCTCTTTTCTTTACTTCCCCCTGGTGGGTTGGCTGGGCTCTCTGCTACCTTTGCCTTGGCTTTTCTTCTCCCCATGGGCTGAGATTCCGTGTCTTTGGAAAAGATTTCTCCAGAATTAGAAAAGTCATCCCCAAGAGGCTGACCCAGAGATTTCCCTGAGGGGTTTCTGTCTACTCCAGGAACCAGACCGCCTGTCCAAGTTAAAGTGGCAGCTGTCAGGACTTCCTCAAGGCTTTCTTTTCCACCAGCTGCCCTGGGCTGTGACTGATAGCCATCAGGTGAAATGGTGCCATCTGCCAATCGTGGAATGGATCCTCTGGAAACACTCATGTCCTCAGCCTCACTGGACTCCTGGGCAGCCAACCGCCGAGCTGCAGGGGTCTGTGGTCTGCGCTTTCCTTTTACTTTGACCCGGCTCTACAATAACAAAAAGACCACATATCGATCTGTTAATCTTAAAAAAAAGTGTCCAAAGCTAACAGAGCAAATAACCAGCCACTCAAAAATACTGCAAGGTTATCAGATCTACCTCAATCAAGATACTATCTAAGACACAGAAGAGGTTATTTTTTAAGATTTCCAAAGAAGTTTAATAGCCCCTAGTACTCCAAAACTAAGTCATTTAACCCCTTAGTGTTCCCCACTTTTTAATCTTTTGAGAGCAATTTCTATTCAATTTCATACAAAAGCTTCATCTGCCACTGGAATCTAGAGCAGAAATGTTGGTGGTTCTGTGTCCCCTAACCGTTTCTGCTCCCTACTCTGCCCTCAATTTAAATGTGGATATATTTCAAAACAAGAAAGAACATAAGAAATTCTGGTACTAACCTTTACTAGGGACTAGACTAAAAATCACACTCCAGGAGAAGGGAGATAACACAATAAAGAAAGGTAACTAAGGTGATCTTTTCTTCCAATCAAAAAACTGTAAATTCAAATGGTAAATATTTCACATAAAAACTCTGGCTTAGAAATCAGAATTCATATTAATATAACCTCAAAATATGTCACTTATTGCCATAATGCAGTATTTGTGGTATTTTCCAAAATATCAAGTAGTTTTGAGAAGGTACAAGCTACTCTAGGGAAAGTACCTGACTGGGTCTATTTCAAGAAAATTTAACAAAAATTTTAAGAATAGCCAATTTATACTAAACTAAAATAAAAGCTAAAAAATAACAAAAGGATGGATGTTTTATTTTTCACAAGGAAAACAGGTTTGGAAATATGTGAAATTAATGTATCTGCAAGGATTATCCTAGGTACTGTCGCTCACTCACTTAGAGATCAGCTAAGACTTTCTAGAGAAGGAAGATGACTAGATAGAAAACAAAAACACACTAAAATGAAAGCAAAACCTCAGGGTTCACAGTCCATCCAGGCATGAGTCCACAGTCCTGTGGAACAGTATGGTTAGGGATATCAGAGGAGGGAGCTTAGGACAAGGGGGCAGGAAGGGAAATATCACAGGGCTGTCAATGAGGAAAGGCATTCTAATAGAGGACACAGCACCAGCTGATGGCAGCAGCCAGGTGGTGTGTGTGTTCAGACAGTGGTACCTGGTGTGACTAGAGTTTAGGCAGACAGTGTGGGTGTCTGCGCCAGGGGGTGGGGAGGTGGGCGGTGTGCGAACTGGAAGCTTCAATTAGCACAGGTTGGAAAAGATTTTAATCCAAGGAGCTCTAATGTCCTCCTTTGGGCAGGACACAATCTACTCTGTTTAGAAGATCTCCTGGTGGCAGTGCAAGAATAGCCTGGAGGTAGTGGGATTTCACTGTGGCTACTGAACAGAATGTAATTGTAACAAATACGGGCTGTGAAAAAGTGGACATAGAATTAGGGAGGTGGAAGAAGGGCATAGAGAATGAAGGAAGGATAAGGTGCCTCTTTCAAATGGAAAGTTGGCCTACCATACCTAACTGATGAACCAGAAACAAACATACAAGTTGTTTGGCTTAAAAAAAAAAAAAAAAAAAAGGTAAGTAGGCAAGCAAAGGGGGCTTCATCACCTTGTTTGCACTGTGTAAAGTGTCAGCCTGAGCTGGAAGATCAAAACTCACGCCGGCCTCCCCACTCCCAGGAAGAGTAGGTATACTTTCCAGACTCTGGATTCTCCCAGGTTCAGACGAAGGAAAAGCCGATTCTGGCAGAACAGGATTTGTTCCAGAGATCTGAAGAGCTGCTGCAGGCAGCAAGACTGCAGGGTTAATCACTAAATTTGCCTAAAGGAGAAAAATAAAACTTACTCTGTATATTTTCTTAAACACAGCAGTATATTACTATTACTGTGACACATCACAAGAGACTCTCTGTGCATAATGAGTAATATGAAAGGAAAAATGCAGGTAAGTCTCTTCATCAAGTCTTAGAATTAAAACAGAGAGTTATACACCTGTGCCCACCACCTGGGCCAAAGAACAGATGTTACAGATGCATCACACAAGAAGCAACACTGGAGAATGGGGAACAGATGAGAAAACACCTGGCAGCAGCTGACAAAAGTAAAATTCCAGATAAGTGTACAGATGCCACAAGGCAGGCAATGAAGATTCCAGACATGTTATAATTACTTGTATTTTCCAAATCCGAGGGGATGGCTCTTTGGTTTTAAATGGAGCGGGACCTGATGAGTCCTGTGTGAAATTACATTCAGTTAAAAATCCATGAAAGCAATAGAAGGAATAGTCTCTTATATTACATTTATGCCTGTAAATAAATCTGTGATGGAGCTAAACTATCACTTTTTCTATGGTATTCTCTAATGGGAAATGTATTCAAACCCCTCCTGAAGCCTCAAAACATTTCACTAAAATTATTTCCCTTATACCTCCTCTTCCACATAGTGTTAAATGGAAGGCTGTCAAACTATACATGGAGTGAAAGGAGACAGAGATCATGAATAAGATTCATGAGAATTATAGTGTACAAGAGCATCAAAACCAGATCAACTGGCAAAATTACCATGCTAGTTATCCACACAGCAAATACTATGAAGCACACAGAAATTCATACACAGCCTAATGAATGCACTGGTTCTAGGAGCAAAAGCAGCTGAGACTTAAGATGAGTCACTGGAGATATGCAATATGCTAGTCCTAGTGACTTGTTTCACAGCTAAGGACGCTGAGGCCTCAGTAAAACACCTGGTGACAGCTGCAAGCCAGAAGGGCACACCCTCTCCAGTCCTAGCCTATTCTCAGGAGGCCCTCCATACAGAAGACTGCTGAGGACAGAGACCTAACAGCAATGATCTCAGAAGAGGTAACATGAGGAGGGAAGCAAGAAATTGGATGCACTATATATTTCATTCAAATGTAATTCTACTCCAAGGTAGCCAAAAGGGAGAAATGAAGGTTCTAATGGGAAAAGAGGAAAAACCCACCTCTTACACCTTGGACCAGAATTTGAAGGTATTACAAAGGTAACAATGATAAGTACAGATTCATGGGACTGGAAGGTAGAATGAGAACAGAGATGAAGAGGGATTTTCAAATACAGTAAAGAAAGCGAGGTAATCCTAGGTGCTATTTCCTCAATGCGGAGAACTCTGAATAACTTGGGCCAGTGTGGTGGAGATAATCTGTACTGGGATAAAAACAAGAGCTCGAAGTCCTTAGAGATCAGTTCTAACCTGAGGGGTTTCCGGTTTCCATATGCTTTCTTCTTTGATACCTTGAGTGGATTCAGGATGTTTCTGGTTCTTGAAAGAGCCAACAGAGAGGTCTTTGTTCACCACCCTCTTCTTTTCTGCTATCTTCAAATGAAAAAGAATACCAGTAGTCTGTCAAGTACCTTAGACATTTTAAAGAAAAGTCATAATGCAATGAAAGAATCTTGGTTCTGAGTTTTAAAAGTCATTTCTCAAGTGAAGGGTGAACTAACTCAAAGGCAACATTTCAGAAATTGCATTCTAAAGACTGTGACTTTCTTAGGAGTCCTGTCTGTGATAAAAACAGAGTACTTACACTATCTACTGGGACAGGGGAAAATGACACATACAAGCTAACACTCATATTTAAAGTGTTGCACCTGAAAAGCATGAATATTTAGTAACTGTATTATATGCACTGACCTTACAATAACTTTAAAAAATCAAACAAATTTGTACTAAAAGAGCATGGGTTAGCTAATGTTTTAATATTAGCTAGGGAACATGAGAGGGGGACAAGAAGACACTCTCAGCAGCACATTATTTGCCATTCATTGATTAGTAAGCCCTACAATTCTCTGAGTATTTTTTTAAGCATGTAACTAGACAGTAATTTTTTTTCCCAGAAGCCCTCCCAACACACCCCAGTACTGAGCACAAAAGACTGATACCAAAGGCTGGGACTTGGCAGAACTGAAAAGGTCATCTTCTTCATCATCCCAAAAAAGGCTCCCAACACTGGGCTCTAACAACTAGAACAGAAAAAACTCAAATTCAATAGCCCAAACCAAAGCAACTTACAAAGAGAGCTAGATGAGTTGCTTAGATAATATCTAATAAAATAAAAAAGCCATGATGTGGAGAACCATATGGAACTGACCCTGGTATTCTTGGTGCTGGAGAAAAGATCAACATCTGGGTCATTGTCCTTCTGGAGCTTGTGACTAAAAAGGAGCTCTTCATCCTGAAAGACACCTGTGCTCTTGGGGCGGGCATCAGGAGAGGGAATCTGGAGAAAAAGAGGGAAGTTCATGTGTGTTTAGACTTCTAAGGATTTATCTCAAGGAAACCACATACAACTACAAAAATGGAACAACAAAGATACCTCCTTGAGGCTCTGTTTACAATAGCTAAAAACTGGACACAGCCTAAATGCCAATTAGAAAGGGAATGACACATTCATATAATGGAATACACGCATCTACCAAAAATAGTTGAGAATATATAAATACAGATAACATACATAATCTGGAAAGATCTTTTGACCCTTGGGTAGTGTCTGAACTTTCTTAAAAATATTTTTAAAGACTTTTTAAATTTATTTTTAGAGAGGGAAAGGGAGGGAGAAAAAGAGGGACAGAAACATCTATGTGTGGTTGCCTCTTATGTGCCCCCTACTGGGTACCTGGCCCACAACCCAGGTATGTGCCCTGGACTGGGAATTGAACCGGCGACCCTTTTCGTTCCCAGGCTAGCACTCAATCCACTGAGCTACACCCACCAGGGCTGAATTTTTTACTTAAAAAACAATCATTAGATCCATAATGAGAAACATCTTAGGGGTGAAAACACAAAAATTAAATAAGTTCCCTCCATCGCATTTTCCAAGGAAGAAGAGACAGCAGCTGACTTAATACCAGAAACTACACAGAGAGTTCAAGTATGTATCCCTAACTTGTCAGCATCTCAGGTCGAAGACTTGGCACAGGTGTAGGCAGTCAACCTGCCCATATGCACATCTACCTTATATTCCACTGCCTTCAGATTCCAAATAAGTTTCCTCTGTTTGCTAGAATACCTGACATTTGAAAGTTACTATTTACGTTACTTAATTTGATATTATAGTGCCCAGACTTGAAGTTCTAAAATTCCCCCACTTCTTTAGTATCACAGCCACAAATTAAAACAACTCACTCCTGATAAAATGGGTCACATTAAAAATTAACTAATAATTATTATTACTGATTATACATGAAAACCAGTATAATACAGAAATTAAGGTTAAAATTTTCATAACTAAAAAAAAAATCACAGTACTAAATCATATATAGTAACAGACTGTTAGAAAATACAGCAAAAGTATTAGTGAGGATGTGGAGAAACTAGAACCCTCAATTATTTAGCAACTCACGTGATGGAACTGATAGCATGAAATATGATTCTTTCATCCTTTTGCTCACCTTTCCTATTTCTTTCTTTAGAGGTTGGATGCCGTTGTGATCTTCTGTTTTCTCCTCTTCCTCGTCAAATAAGCTAAGAACAGTTTTGGTTCTACTTTTGGCTCCTTTGTCCAATCCGGGTGATGAAGAAAACAAATCAGAATGCTTGACTACTTCCTGTGTAGATACAGTCAAAGACCCTTCCTGAAAATGGAAACAATAAGTAAAAAAAAAAAAAGTAACACCTGTAAATACAAATTCTATTGTGGGGTCTTCCATGTTGCTCATTAATCCAGTAATTGCCATATTTGCATGTTTCAAGGCAGTACAACTCATCACACCTATTCTCAGGTAATAAAACATTGAGGCCAAATCTTGATTGGCTGTTCCACAGAGTCTTGTGCAGGTAATTTATAGCCAAAGAAAATTTTTTCAATCAGTTTAAAGCCATGAGTCCCTCCTTCCTACCAAGAGATATATGTCAGTTATAGCTCTGAGCCACATAGGTTGCTCAAGAGCTGTAAAAAAACTTCTAAGTCATAGAGATAACACAAATGCAGATCACTGGGAGGGGATCATGTATTTTGTTAATATTAACTAATACACAAGTCTTAAGGAGAAACCTAATTGACAAAATTAGACATTTAAATAGTAGAGGACTTACATTGTATCCAATAAGAAGAATCTCTAAAATAATCCTAAAATGAAGCATTTATTCTAGTCATTCAACAAGTACCACATTTCAGGCAAGTTACCACTGACTATAAGAACCATTACTACTGCATCAACCAGCAAGACAGAAAAAACAACTCCCAATTAAACGAGCCATTTACTGTGAAGTGCATCCTCATTTTAGAGTGGCTAAACTATGAAAAAATATACTTCTTCAAAGAAATGTGTAATTTTAAAAGTGACTACTATGCGCAAAGTAATATGCTAAATACTACAGATATAATGGTGAACAAGACAAACCTGGCCCCAATACTCAAGGAGTTTATATTCAAGCAAGGGAGACAGTAGTCCAAGAAGCAGATACAGAGTGCAAGTGTGGAAAGAGCTGTAACTGGAGTATCTCAGGGACTACAAGAACACAGAAAAGGTCCACACTGAAGTCACAGAAAGAGAATATTATACAATGACTCAGGTACTAATAAAATATGTATCACTGCAGCCCCAAAGAGCCTGAAGAGGAAAAGTATATGCAACATTCTGCACATAGGCCCTAGAAGAGAGATTAACCCTAAGGAGTTGAACACACAGGGTACAAGTAAAGTGAGAAAAGAAGAAAGGGTCTAAAGAGACTAATGGCAACTGCTGATTTCCAGGTGTGGCTAGGAGCCTTATCCACAAGCCTCTCCTGCAGGAAATGACAGGTCATCCAAGAAAAAGCACGCTAATGTTTTGGAAGAAAGACAAATTTCACTTTAAATCACATCAATATCAACTAAATGTAAAAGAAGAGTAAGCTAAAATCTTAGGGCAGTCATTTTCATTCAAGTACAGGTGGGGACTGGAAAAGAACCAGGGGTAACAGAAATGCTACAAAGAAGAGAACAAGTCAGCAGAAAGAGCAGACATGCACAGAAAAAACCAAAATGAAAAAAAGATGTGGAAGAACACCCTGAAGAAAGAAAGGCAAAATGGGCATCGGCACAAAATGGTAATAATGTACAATGGGAACAAGCACCTTCACTGTGCCACAAACCTGGAAAAGAGACTGAGAGGGAAGCACAAAATGGAACGTTCCCTGAATGGCAGGATCAGGGATTTTCTTCTTTGTACTTTCCAGGGTTTTCAAAACATTCAACCAATGAGCCCTTTATTTTCTGCAGTAGAAAAATGTCAGGGCACTTACATGTATATGCACATGTGGGTTTTATAAGAACATAAGACAAACATAACAGAATATAAAAAAAGAAAAAGTCCACCTTTTCTGATTCCTCAAACACATGAATGCTCCCAAATTCTGACAATCCTTTGTCACTCTCAACCTTCTGGTCCACAGGTTTCACTCCAAATTGTGCCTCCTTCTCTTCTTCATTGCTGAACAGCAAAGGCGGTACCTCAGGGACAGTCTCTTTTTTCTACCAAAAAATGAGTAAATGACATCTTCATGAAAAATAATCACAGAACCACTTGAAAATGGAGTACAGCTACTCCCCAGAGGAACGGCTCACATGTCTGATTCCTCAAACCTTTGGAGTGGTAAAACTGGGCAAAATAACCTGTGACTAGGCCTAAAGCAGCACTGTAACCCAACTGTTTACAAAGATAACAAAAAAGCAGAGATTACAGCTAAAACTGAAAATTAAAAATTCTTTAGAATTAGCATCACTGTCTTAGCTATCTGTACCGATAGCTTATTAACACCCACAGAAACTTTCTTCTTCTATTCATGTTATTGTTCCCCTTCCTTTTCTCATATATACCCCTTGCCTTGCGTCCTAATTAGAATATCAGGGTACTATTTGGGTTTCTGCCTGCATCAGTGCTTCCTGAACAGCTCTTCTTTTGGAACTCAAATAAATGCTTGTTTTCTCTCACGGTGGCCTTTTATTTTTAGGTTAACATTCAACAACAACATAAATGTGCTATCATTGCAATGTATAAAACAAGCTGAAACCACAGATCTCTTTAAGGAGTTGGCTAAGTGTAGTGGTGGGAGAGAAAGCAAGGGAGGCAAGCTACTCCCTGGGCCCAGCCTGGCAGGAAGCCAGGAAACCATTAACTCCCCCATTGCTTTCCCTTTTCCCTACAGCCAATTAACAGCTAGATAGAAGGACACTGCTGTCTGCAAGGTTTACTTTGGTAGACTTAAATTTTGTTCTCTTGGCTCACACGAGCACTAACAAGAAAGACTGTCCCTTCAGTAACCCACCCTCATTTAAGTCCTAAAAAACACGCCTCTGGGTGGAGATTTAACATGTTAATGAGACATGCTAACCATGAAGAAGCATGCCATTCCACTGCTGAGGCACCAAAGTCCCCACCTCAACATACTTAGACTTGCCACACAGACAGCATCCTTCCTGCATCAACTTCTTTAAAACATTTTCCCAGGCTTTGTTCAGGGGCAGCAGCACACTCTGTCTCCCTCCGGATGCTGTGACTCTCACATATACAAGCTTTTTAATAAACCTCTCACCTGAGTACAATTTTTGTGGAGAACTACTTGATGTTCATCTCAGCAGTTCCCACGAACCCCAGATGCTAGTAACAGTAGGACAGGATAGTGAAATGGGCACAAGGAAAAAGAAGAAATAAACACTACTACCACAGACTTGCAGATATGGCACTTCAGAGTTTGTGCTACCATATCTTCTGCATCTGTCTTCTTGTGTCTCATTTCCACAGATACTGCCATCGCTTAGATCCTTACCTTTGCCAGGAAGACAATTTCTCATCTCCTTTTTGCCTCCCTCCTCTTATCTATTATCACTAGATAACATCTTCTAGAGCTGTCTTGCTAAAATAAAACACCAGATTACTTCATCTCCCACCCCAGAAATGCACTACTTGCATTAAGCAAAGGCTAAACATGACAATCAACTAACACCTCATTATATCCCTTTATTCATCTGCACCTCATCAGTCCTCACTATTCCTTAAACCTACTGTAAACTTTCACACTGCCGTGCCTTCTCCTTACTATAGAGCAAACCCTCATCTTTCAAGGTTTTCCTGCTCTCTTAGGTATTATTTGCTTTATTGGTAAGAATATTACTTAAATTTCTATCTAGCCCTTACTTTCTTCTTAAATTACATTAACAGCTATCACACATCTGTCTGTCCATTTACTTAATGAATCACAGAGCATATTTCTACACCAATTATGGTATTTTACATCAATTAGGGGCTTCAACACAAGATTACGAGCACTTTGCCCCATGTCTCATCTGTCATCTAAGAGGAGGAAATTTCAGAGATTAGGAAACTGAAGTAATGTGACTTGACTAGAGTTATCAGCATACTTGGGGCAAGTAACATCAAAAATTCTTGAGAAAAAATATAACTCTATCATACTACTGGGTTAGATAGTATATCTAATATAGTCAAGTTAGGAAGACAGATTTGGAAACTAAAGAAGAACATTACTGTAATAGAAAAAAACTACAAATGAAGTAAGAATAATGGGTAAGGAAAATTTTAGTTATTGTTAGGAAGAGATCCTTAAAATGTGTAATCATCTGAATTTCAAATAAAAAACTGGAAACCCCCAAAAGAGTTTAAGATGAAACTCAAAAAGAGGTAAGACAAAACTGAAATAATATAAGGAAAAAATTTTTGTGCAATGTGGGCTCACTGAAAACAACATGTAACTTCGATGCAAGCTGAGGGTAAAAAAAGAGAATTATGGTAAAACATATTCTCCCTTCAAGTAACTATGGGGCTTAAACCAAGGAAAATGCTACCCAAACTACTGGTTTTAAACCTTCCTAAAGATAAGCTGACCCTTCATTGTTGTCATAAACTTAATTTTCTTGATAGGATTACAAGTCAGTCACATTTACCTTACTTTAAAATATTCTAAGACTTCTAAACAGAAAATATCTTTGATATGCTTTGTCTAAAGGGGATTATATTTCACAAATGGTAAAAATTATGTGTGCAGGTTGTTCAGCTACTTACACTGTGAATCTCTGACCTTTGTCTTATTTAATAATCATAATACTACGGGTTATACAGTTTTTCATTTCCAGAACCTTCAAAAATTCCTTAGATTACTGCTTATTTAACCAGAGTAACTTATACTCATAAATTACAAAGAAAAAACCACTAACATCTCCTGACTCTTTTAACTATGGAGCCACTAGATACCCTATTTAGGGAGATGCAAGGACAGGTGATTCACAAAAAGGATTTTGAACACCTCAAAAGCAACAGCAGGAGCCCCACAGCCCAGAAGACAGAGTGCTCCCCTAATGTTAAATGCTTCTAACACAAACTGTGTAACCCTACTTAATGGGAAAGTGGTTAGGAAAGAATTCCTCAGTCATTAACTTGCATGTGCCTGGTCTGGGGGAGTTTTCATAGGACAAGTTAACATTTGTACTATAGTTGAAAATATGAAGTCTATTTCCAGACAAAAGGAACAACCACCTCTTCCGCAGTATTCTGGGACATGATAAGTTACCTAGAGTACTTGGTATGTGAGACTGGAAAAAAGGAGTCCAGTTTGAATGAAATTAAAGGTAGCATGGTAGGCTCAGTTGAGGTACTGTAACAAGAGCATGGCAGGATCGGTTATCTTAAGAAGAGAACTAGTGCAACAGCAAGAATAGATGAAGGAAAGGAGCACTGACAGAGAAGCCAGTTAAGAAATTATCTGAATAGTAAAGGTTAAGGCAGTAGGGATAGGAAGAAACATTCCTAACAACCTTGCAGAAAGCAGTGGTGATTACACCAACAAAGGAGAAACAGTCACACATATCCTGGTATAGTTATACTGTGGAGTACTATATGGAAATGGCAAAGAGCAAAATGACAAAAATGCTGCAGGACAAAAAGGATGCATAAAAATGTACAAACACTCCAATTTAAATTTTTCTAAACATAAATGTTTAGAAACAGGCCTAAAAAATTGACAACAGTTACCGATGATGACATCTAGGGAGAAGTTAGCAATCTCTAGGCATTTTTAAAACTTTTTCTTAAGAAAGTATGCATATATTATTGTGTAATTTAAAATAAGCTTTAAACAAAACAAATATTTAAGAGGCATAGAAGAAGAGCCAAGTATCAACCTGTAGAAACAGAAACTTTGAGTCTCCTTTACTGCCACAGGCCTCCTTCAATGCTCACCCCAGGAGGAGCAATGTACCTGGGAATGTGCAGGCATCAGGGATTTGTTCACCTGTCATTTTGGTGGGAGGGGAGGGCTTTCTTCATCCAGCCCAGTGGAGGAGCTGCCATTTTGGATTCTGTGGCTGCTCCCACATGGGAGGAGTGCCAGGAGATTCAGCAATTCTTCCCAGTCTTGCAGGTCTTTCTGCCTCTAGCACATGCCAAATTGGAGTGGTCTGAGCTTGGGGCTGAAGGTCCTCATAGAAGGCTGTGAGTCGGTTTGATTCTTGGCCTTCTAAGCTAACCTAGCTCAGATAAAGGTGTTCTTCATGGGGTCAAGCTTAAGAAGTTCTAAGTTTCTCTTTGAGTCTAGTAGCAATGGCCAGATGGCAAGAGAATATTGCTTGGCCTCACTCTGTTCTATGTGCATACTCATATGTACCCACTTTGGGAACGTGTTGAGGAAGGATTAATGACCAGTCACAGACAGGACTCCATTATGTGTAGTTTCCCTGAAAAATTATTATCATAATGCCACCTTCCTCTTATTCTTTAACACTCCTTTTAGACTTAACCAACATCAAGATTGGCTAAATTTTTTAGCTTGGGTGATCATGATAGTGATGCCACTTGGAAGTAATCACTGGAAGGATATTTAGACCATAAGCTGCTGACTGGATACTTTTTTCTTACCATATACTTAAATTTTTTTTAAATTGTAGTAAAAAACATCTAATGTAAAATTTATCATTTTTGCCATTTCTTAGTGTATCGCTCCATAATGTTAAAAATATTCACATTATTATGCAACAAATCTTTAAAATGTTTTCATCTTGCAAAACTGAAACTCTGTATCCATTAAACAACTCCCCATCTCCCCCAATCCCTAGCCTCTGGCAATCACCACTCTACTTCCTGTTTCTATAAATCTGACTACACAGGTACCTCATGTAAGTGAAATTATATAGGTCTTGTCTTTTTGTGATTGGCTTATTTCACTCAGTGTACTGTCTTCAAGATTCAAACATGCAGCATGTCAGAATTTTCTTTCTTTTTAATGACTGGCTACTAACATTAAAACCAGGACCAGAGTCTTAGTACTTAAAACATGCTCTGAAAATAGATAATTCATGCTTGAACTGCCCTGGTCTAATGGTAGCGCAACTCCACGCGACTGGCACTAAACCTGGCGATTACTCCAGGAGAAATGCAGCAGCACTCCCCCCCAAGACTCTGGGACCTACACCTGATGCTGAAACAGGGCCACATGACATGAACGAATCCTTTTCTCCAGGCTCTGAATGTGTACTTCACCTATAACATACCATTAACCAAAAAAATCACTCTTTAAACCTACGCAATGAATTTTTCCATCAGACTGACTCAGCCTCCAAGGCCAGGTTTTAGGAACAGATTCAGAAAAGTATCCATATTTATGTAACATCACCTCAAGGATACTTCCTAAACCTAAGAGGTTAACAATACCATTGGCGCGGGAGGAACAGATGTGGGAGGAGAGCCAAACAGAGAGCTTCCACAATCAGCATCGTCTTCAAAGAGGAGTGATGCTCTTTGGGTCTTCTTGTGGCTATATAAACAAACAAAAGTCAAATAAAAGAAAAATGTTATTTTTTTAAAATATAATATCCTTTCTTGGTCACACCTATAGAAGCTACCACTACCACTACCACTAAAACACCTGAGCCATCTGTTGACCTTACACAGTTGAAAGCAAACAAGAGAAACCTTTGAAGGAGGTGCAGTTTTTGTCTGGCAAAAAAACATCAGCCTATGTCCCTCATCCTTATGGTACAAAAGTCCAGGGGCCTCCTTAATGAGATTTCTGGTATTTTTAAGCATCTAAGATAGTTATTTTTTAACTAGCCATAGCAGGAGAAAATCTTATGTATGACTTTCTGAACAAGTACTTTCTTAACAAACACACACACAAATAAAAACCCCAACCCACAAAAAAAGATTTCATGACAGATTCTGAAGGTTAGTTGGAGAAAAGCTAGTTTTTTCTGGACATAGATAACTAAAGAGGAACAAAGACAGTTAAAGGTTAACCTTGGCCCTTGTTCCACATCTCAACAAACTGCTGGTTAAATTAGGCCCTCTCATGGAGATCTGTCCTCAGAAGAAAAACATGCTGCTCAGTGAGCTAGAGTATTTCTCGTTATAAACAGGTTAAGTATTCTGATTATTTAAAAAGTACAGACATCACTGACAGCTCTCAGGGTGGAAGGATTGAACAGAAAAAGAAACAAAAACAGCCCTATCGGTGCTCAGCGGATTGAGCATCAGCCTGCAAACCAAAAGGTCGCCAGTTCAATTCCCAGGTATGTGTAGGGCACATACCTGGGTTGCAGGCCAGGTCCCTAGCAGAGGACATGTGAAATGCAACCACACATTGATGTTTCTCTTCATCTCTTTCTTCTTCCCTTTCCCTCTCTAAAAATAAATAAATAAAATCTTAAAAAAATAAAAGAAACAGAAAGAGAATGAACTCTTGGAAATGGACAACAGTGTGGTGATTGCAGGGGGCGGGGGTGGGTGGAGGCAGAAGAGTGTATAGGGGAGATAAATGGTGATGGAAAAAATGTTTTAAATAATACCTCATAATAAAGTTATCTGTGCCTTTGTCTGCCACATAAAATTTATCCTTTTATAGAGTACAATCACTGATTTTTCATATATTCAGATTTGTGCAACTATCACCATAATCTAAGTCCACAAAATTTCCATTAACCCAAAATGAAACTCCATACCTGTTAACAGTCATTCCCAATTCTCCTTTCCCTTCAACACCAAACAAACATTAATCTACATTCTGTCTCTATGAACTTTTCAATTCTGAACATTGTATAAAAATGGAATCACACGTGTCCTTCTGTGACTGGCTTCTTTCAATTAACAGAATATTTCCAAGATTCATCTATCCATATCGTAGCATGAATTAGTTCTCTATTCCTTCTTACTGCTCAATAAGACTCCACTGTATGAATATAACATATAAGGTCTGTCCAGAAAAAATCCAGCCATTGATAATATAACAAGAACGGTTTGAGTGACATCAATGTAACCTGCTGGGTCAAAGAGAATGGACTGGAATGCACATGCATAAACAATGATAACTTCACTATACTAGTCAAAGGGGGCGGTAGACACCATTGAATGAGCATGTGTACTGTATGGCCATTGCATTCAAAATAACTGAGCAAGTGGAGTAAAAAATCCACACCAAATTTTGCACTAAGCCTGAACATTCCTCCATGGACACTACTTGGATGATCGAGAAGGCCACAGCTATGTGCAATTGGGGATTGGTAGCTTCATTACAACAACGTGCCCACTCACACATCACATCTCCTGCAGAGATTTCCAGCGAAACATCAAATCACTCAGGTGACTCAGCCTCCCTATAATCCAGATTTGGCACCCTGAGACTCCTGGCTTTTCACAAAATTAAAATCCCCTTTGGAAGGGAAGAGATTTCAGACTGTCGATGAGATTTAGGAGACTCCAACAGGGCAGATGATAACGACTGGGAGAACTATGTGAGGTCCTAAGATGCCTACTTTGATGGGGAGGTGTCATTGTCCTATGTACAATGTTTCTTGCATCTTGTATCTTCTTCAATAAATGTCTCTATTTTTCATATTACATGGAGGAACACATTCTGGACAGACCGTATTTTGTTTATCCTTTCAACCAGTTGATGGACTTTTGGGTTATTTTCAATTTTTGGCTAGTATGAAAAATTCATGGACAAGGTTTTATGTGGACATGTCTTGATTTCTCTTGAGAATATATTTCAGAGTGAAATTAAGTCATGTGGTAACTCCACATTTAATTTTTTAAAGAACTGTTAGACTGTTCTCCAAAGTGGCTGCAGCATTTTACATTCCTGGTAGCAAAATTTATGAGGGTTCTAGTTCCTCCACATCCTTTCCTACACTAACTGTCTGTAAAATCTTTCTTTTTTAAGGTAAGAATCTCTTGAAAGCTTTAAACTATTTCTTAAGAAAAATACCCATACTAAATTTTACAGACAAATTCTGGACCAATGGGAGATGGAATGAGTCTGGAACAGAAAAAGCATTACTAAAAGCTAGGAATTCTGTGTAATTGGTACAGAGACCTACAAATGACACTTGTTTCCAGATCTCTAAACGTGTGACCATGGGTATGTGGTAGAGACAAGAGGAGGGGATGTACATGAAAACATTTAACTTCTAAACATTGTAGAAAATACGGACTTCTGGTCAAGATGGAGGTGTAAGTAGACACGCTTCAGCTCCTCGTGCAACCACATACAGAATTACAAGTATATCTCAAAACAAGTAACAACCAGAACTGTCACAAAATCAAGCCGTATGGAAGTCCAACAACCAAGGATTTAAAGAAGCTACATTCTTTCACATGGGTAGGAGGGGCGGAGTCGCAGAAATGGGCAGAGAGGTGGGAAGACGTGGTGGCAGAATGGGCAGTCCACACTCTCATGTTGTGGATAAAACTCAGGAGGGACATTCTGGAAGCCAGCGATCCAAGCCCTAGGCCAGACTGCACAGCCCAGATATCCAGTGCTAAGAAGATAGATCCTCACAACTTCAGGCTGTAAAAACCAGTGAGGATTGGTACAGAGGAGAAAACCGCTGGATTTTCAGGAGACTGAACTTAAAGAGCCTACCTGGACATAGAACATATGCAAACCCACCCACTCTGGTATTCACCACCAGGGTAACAACTGAAAGAGCAAGAGTCACATACAAGAAGTGACTGGAAAGGGAGCAAATGCCAGGCAAGCCTCCAGAAGCCAGGCAGTTGGACTGTCGCCTATCCTAAACCTGCCCCTACACAGAGCCACGAAGTGGTAAAGCAGGTTGCTCTGCCATGGAGACTACCGAAGGCTCCACCCAAACAACTTACAGGTGCCTTTTCTAAGACAGGAAGTTAAAGTAGCTCTACCTTATACACAGAAACAAAAACAAGGAGGCTACCAAATTGAAGAGACGAATATGGCCCAAATGAAAGAGTAGAACAAAACCCCAGAAAAAGAACTAAACAGAGAGAAACAGGATGGCAGAGGAGTGAGTGGAAGTCACATGGACCTCCTCCCAAGACCAACCTGTAATTACAACTAAATTATGGAGAAATCACCTGGAACTAACAACTAAACAAGAGTGAGAGAGGAGCCTTGTAATCTTGAAGAAAGAAGAATCAACTTAGCACAATCTTAACTGGTACGGAGAGCGGTAGAGACTCAAGAAGGAGTGCGAGGCGCCCATGGTAGGCAGCACCAGAGGGATATTGAAATGGCCAGTTGGATCCCCCTGAGAAGACTGGGGTCTAAACCAAAAGTGGGGATCTCCAGCCTACAGCACCAGAGCAAAAAAAAAAAAAAAAAAAAAAAAAAAACCACAGAAAAAAGACAGCTGCGAAAAGCAGCAGGGTTGCTCTCTGCCACAGACAGGAGGCTACAGATGTAAAGGGCCATTTAAAGGGCCAACACATAAATTTTTATTTGCAGCTACTTACCCTGGTCTTCAGCAAAGGCGGGGACACAAGGACTAGAGAGACATGACGAGAGACTGGGGAAGAAGGCTTTGGGGGGAGAACTGAGAGAGTAGCCAGTGGGATCCAGGTGCTGACTCATCCACTGTGCCGCAGCAGCCATCTTGCTCAGGCAGAGACCACACCCCTGAGCGGTGGCAGCATCAGAGGACCCAATAGGACCCAATAGGAAATCCGCCCCCAGGTGGATTTCCACCCCGCCCTGTGCTGTCTAAGCCACCTACTGAGTGCAGAGTGGCAGCCACAGACAGTAGATCCCTGGCTAAAGGGGGCGCAGAGTGGTCTGGAGACACTTGAGGAGAGACGGGGGACAGAAGCTTTGGGGAGAGAACTGAGAGAGTGGCTGTCACGGTCGCGGTGCTGACTCCTCCCTCACACGGCACCAGCCATCTTGCTCAGGCAGAGACCACACCCCTGAGCGGCAGCACTGTGGAAGAACCCAGTAACCCTGCCCCCAGGAGGAACTATGCTCTGCCCCGAGCTAAGCTGGACTACTGAGTGCAGAATGACTAGATTAACAGCTGAAGGAGACAGCCACAGACAGTAAATTCCTGGAAGTCTCGAACAGACTGCCTTAGGTCAGACAGGGACAACATCTGACATCATCAGAGGCAGATCCAGACAGTAAAAACGGTGGTCTCCTACCACCGAAGTTCACGCCACAAAGTCAGGAAATCAAGACAGATCAATTTAAGAAGCAGAAGCAAAAAAGGAAGAGTCTCACAAACAGTGGGAAGACGAGGAAACATCCCCCAGTCGAAGGGAAAGGAGGAATCCCCACAAAGATAACTAAATGAAATAGAGGCAAGAAAACGATCGGATTTTGAGTTCCAAACAACGGTTCTAAGGAAGCTCAGTGAGCTCAGTGATCTCAGAGAGAATTATAAAAAGCAACAGGGAAACTATGAGGAACTTAATGAAAACTACATCAGCATGAAAAAGGACACAGAAACTATCAATAAGAGGCAAGGGGAAATGAAGAATACAATTTCTGAATTGAAGAACACAGTA